TTTGTAGACGGTCCCTGCGCACTCGTCTCGCAGCCGGCCGCTCATTGAGACCAATGCAGATTGTCCAGCTCGGAGGAGTCCGTAAGACGGCCCGTTTTAATTCAATTAAGGTTGTAGCTTGTTGTCTACCTCACTGCGGTTACAGGGAGGTATCGTTTGTATTTTAGCAACGTTTCGTTAACGATTTATTGAACCGGGAAGTCCGAATCTGTCAATATCTTTCTAACTTTACCTAACCTGTAAAGTAACTTTTAATAACTTCACTTTCAAACCTCAGAAGTTGAATAATATCTCACTGAGTTTGTGATGATTTTACAGATGATTTATACTTCATATCATGTACATAAACGGAACAACGTGAGCTCAGGTAGACAGGTTCTGAACCTGAAATATCACTTTAAGTCCGGTAACGTTTCAAACGTTGAGATTAACTACACGAATACACTGAATTTGAGTATTTTGCTGATTGTGTTCTTGTTTTGTTACAGAGAGCAGGAGCTGAGGGGAGAGCGATGGACAAACATTCAGCAGCCGTAGCTTTGAATTAAGACATTAGTCCATTTGTAATATCTCCATGTGACCATCCTGTACTGAAGGTTACAGTTACATGAGCTCTCATCCTGTACAAAGCCTTCACCAACAACACAACCAGTAGATCCTTCTCATGTGTTCATGTTGCTGTCACAGAGAGGACAGTTGTGATGTCACCTTTTTATTTTATTTATTTAAATTGACATAAGACATCCATGTAAATGATTTCTATGTGAATATGTATATATTCTGCTGTGTAAAATGTGTCAATCTTCTAAGTTTGCATCCCTGTGTGAACATTATTGATAAATGTTTCTCTTTTCATCAACTTATTTAAAAAATATAAAGTATATGCACATGTGTTACTGAGAGTTAATGAACATGTTTGCTGACATTTGTTTTGCTGCTGTTAATGTTAACTGTCTTGATTGATTTCCTCTGCTTTAGGATTGCTTCATTTCGGAGACGCAGGGTCTAGCCTACGCGGTCCTCAAAGGACGCGGCCCACGTAGACCGCGAAGGCTGGGTCCTCCGAAGGATGCAGCCCCTGAATTGAGACACAGCAACTGAAAACCTTTTACAGAGCGGAACCATTACTCCTCCACATGTTTTCACCCGGAACTCTTTATACACTGGATCAAAACACAAACGACTCATTACACGAGTAGTTTCCATTTAGTTAAAACAAATTAATTCAGGTTAAAAAGTGATTCAGTTTATTTTAAATAACTGACTCCATCTTTTGGGTTTGAATTAATGTGAAAACATTATGAAGAATAGTGTTTAAATAAAGGTTTACAGAAACATACCATAGAAAGAACAGATGTTTTAACCTTTTTAGAAAGTATATTTATTCAAAGATTAGATGATTAAATAAACGGAATTTAAATAAAAAGTAGAATTCAACACAATTGGCACCACTACTTCTATTTTATTTTATTTTAAGTACTAACTAGACATCGTGATCCACACTCCAGACCAGTTGGTGGCGGTAATGCATCAGTTCATTGTTTGCCAACCACCAAAACAACCTCAAAACAGAAGAAGAAGAAGACTTTCGTTTTCATTTCTTCTCTGAGTCGATGTTGTGATCATCAGACCACACAAACATGGCGGGCCTGGAGGTGTTGTACACGTACGTGGGCGGTAAAGTGAGCTGTCCTCAGGACGCCGTGGTGTGCTTCGTTCACTGGGAGATGATAAAGAGCGGGTACCGGTGCATCGGGTCCGGAGACGAGGTACAATGAGCTAACGTCATCTAAAACAACGTAACGGTGACTTCATTAACGCACCAGACTACCTTTAACAAACCAGCCGTTTAACGCTGTGATCTTTCTTCTGATTACCGGAAGCGGAACTATATTTTAAGCTATAGCTAAAGCTGCTTTGTGAAGTATTGATACGCCGAATTGAAGAGCTGCTCTTAAGTTGTTCGAGTTAATGTGTGTCTTCTGTTTTTATTCAGATTATTGAACGTAACTTTACAGAAATACATGAAACGGTCTTGTTCTTCAATGGAGTTCTGTCATCGGTGACATCACCCTTTAGATTAGTGTTAGCTTCCTAAAGGAGCATCAAGGACGTCATCTAGCTGTACTGAACTGTACGAATATTTAATCTTTGTTTGAATGAACTTCCGTGTTTGATGCAGAATCAACCAGCAGTTCATTTAAAATCGAGATTCTATGACGAGCTCCTAAAAACTGTCATGTCATCTTTAGTTAGCTGCTAGCTGTTAGTTAACTGAGTGTTGTACCTCCCTTCACACCAACGAAGAAGAAAGATATTCAGAGTCTGTACTACAGTAAAAGTATTAATACAACACTGAAAATACTCCACTACAAGTATATCAGCTAAATGTACTTATTGATTGATCGATCAGTAACATGTTTTTCCTTTTCTATCAGATGTTTGTGGATTAATATTCCTGTTACAATAATGTTATGTTTTATTGTAACTCCTTTGTCCTGTTGGTTAGTTTATATATTATATATATATATATACTATATGTACCTCTGAGATGTAGTACAGTAAAAAGTACAATATGTACCT